TCAATTAAAATATAATTGTGGCGGTACATTATTCGTGACCGCCAGTGTATGTACTTATATACTTATTTCCCTCCCTTTACATTGCAGACCACCTACGTACACGAGAACTATTCAAGCATTTTAAATAATTTTGATATTGGCTTGATTGAATTGGCTAAAGATGCTGAATATAGTGTCAACGTTTATCCAACTTGCCTGCATACAGATCTCACGGATCTGCCAGAGAGCACCGAACTGATTGTGACCGGTTGGGGAGTCACCGAAAATCAGAGTATGCCACATTCAAGAAATTTGATTTTTATGTGAATTATATTTTTCAATGGATATGTTTTTTTTCGTTTTATAGCAACTTCAGCTCGCTTAATGGCAGCCAAGCTGAATGCGGTACCACTTACACAATGCAACATTAGTTACGCGGATCAGATGACGCATGAGACACAGCTTTGTGCTTTGGCTCCGGGGCGAGATGCTTGTTGGGGTGACTCAGGCGGTCCATTGCAACTAGTCAAAGACAAATCGTTGGGTAAATATAGAGTTGTTGGTGTCGTTTCATTTGGCTTAGTTTGTGGCACAAAGTTACCGGGTGTCTACACCAAGGTGGCAGGGTTTTTGGACTTTATCGAAAGCATTGTTTGGCCTGATGGCAGATAATTCTATAATATATGTATAACATTTTTACTTGGATAAGATATCGAGATTAGATAGATATAATAATTAAGCGAATAGCTTTAAGTATTTATATTTTTTAACGCAAATGAAAATAAATTCAATGGCATGATTTTTATATGTAAGATGTTTTATGCGAACTTTCATTCAAGATGAAGTAGTTTTCACCTATTTCAGCATAGATTTTATTGTATTTGAAGAAAAAATCCACAAAAACAGGCACATATTAGACGTCTCTCAATTCATTGCTATATTGTTAAACTTACATTTTTAAAGTGTAAAAAAAAAACATTTCGTAGTAAGGCTACGCAATAGGCAGCTATGAAAATTTCGAGCGCGACAATAGTAAACGTTCTTCCATGATAAAAATATCGGTAGGTAGAACCGCTGAGAGACAATTTTAGAATTTTTGACGTTTTCAAGCATTTTAATTTTAAAATTTACTCACAAACACTCGCTGTAGCCGCTGTAACTAAGCGATTTTGGCCGATTTTGACCTCGTCGGGTGTTGTCATCGTCCATGTTCTCAAGTAGATTGGTAATATATTTTATTTTATTTATTACTTTTATTTTCAATTACACATAAATAAATACCAAATGGTTTAATACCTTTACCAAAAATTTGTTAATTTTATTTCTGTTAAGCATTTTTCTAAATTATGAATCTTTGTAAATTCTGTAAAAAGTTTGAAAGTGTGATTTATACGGTTTTTGTTAAAGCCTGAACCTCAAAAAAAACTTAAGCTTGGAGAAAATTGCAAATATTAGAAACGAAACACCATTCATCTATTTTTAACCGCCACTGTAGGTTTTTTGGGTTATATGTACTTACAAACGTGTGAACCACGTGGCAGTGAGTCAATCCTTGCTATACTTTACATTTCTTCTTGTAGATGTGAAAGTAGAACATAAACCACTGTCGAGCGGAGTATCCACTCGGAAATAAATAATCTTACAGGGCAATTATGGCTAATAGAGTAAACATTTTTTTCTTTTTTAATTTAGTTTTTCAGATTTTTTATGTATGGAAATATGTACACTTTTTTAAATTAATTTAATGTTTAGAAACTTATTTTTTGTATATCTTTCCTTTTTTAATTTAATTTTCTTTAATGATTTGGTTGTTATTCTTTTTAAAAGAATATTTTATAATTTTATTTAATTTTTTGGAACTTATTTTATTTTCTTTTTCTATTTTTAAATATTTGCTTTAGTGTTTTTTTTCTAGATTTTATTGTATAAATAAGAATTTTTTTTTTTAAATTTCAAGTACTTTTTAGAAATGTATTTAATTTATTGTTTAATTTAGTTTGTTTTTCCTTTGTTAATTTAATTTTTTTAATTTTAAACGTTATTGTTTTAAAAAGAAAATATATACTTTCATTTCATTTAGTTTTGAGGATCTTATTAAATTTTTTTAAATTTTTTTTATTTTAATTTTTATTTAGTGTTAATAAAACTATATTTAATCTTATTTAATTTTTAAGTAATATTTCCTTTTTTGATAAAACTTTTTTTTTTTTTTACGAATATTGTATACATATGTATGTATTATTTTTAAGTATTATTTCCTCTTTTTTTGATAATTTTTTTCCCTCAATTAATTTTCTTTCATTTATTAATTTTTATTTTTTTTTCACGAAAAATATATTCCTATGTATGTATCGATGGCTGAGTGGAAGATCGACCTATCTCGGCAGCCATTTCGAAA